AATGGTGTTGTGTCTCGTCACCCAGTGTGATCGAGAGTCTACAAATTTACTTTTCCAATTACATTGAACTGTGGCAAGTGTTCCGATGTACACCGTGGAAACACCGGGCGTTGCTTTACTATTATTGCACCTGGAGTCCGGGCATATACGCGCTTGAGGTCAGGTGCAATTGGATTGCATCGTTTCACTCGGCGCGTGAGCCGACTAGCATTGAGGATTCCAGTCAATCGTTGGTGATTTCTTGGCGAGATATTAATTGGCGGCTTACGTGGACGCAATCAACGGACCAAGCGGGACGAAAAGGATCGTTTGGAGCATATTGGGAGGGAATGGCAATCAGATATGGAAGTGCTGTTGGATAATTTGTATTTTTGAAACATAAAATCAAAGATGAGAGAATTATAGGAGTGAGAAGGGAGTTATAGAGAGAATTTGAGGATCGGGAATCGCTACTGCGCCACCTGGTGGTGGCGTCCCTGTACCCACGTCCTCATAATCTCTGATTTTCCGCTGAGGAGCAATGAATAGTGAATTTCTTTGGAATATATTTGGAATATAGAACTGGAGATGAGTAAATCATGATTAAATCGCACAATTCATTATTTTATATTATTATTTTAATTACATGAGACAGATATTTAATGCAAAACTATTCGCCTGAAGAGAATGATTGAAAAAATCTAGTGTTCGAAAGACAAATAATTGATCTAAAATATTTTAGCTGTTGATTTATTGAATATATTAAGGAGAAAGAATCGATCGGACGTCACCTAGCGGTAGCGTCCTGGAACTTTTGTTCTTGCAGGGCCAGTGAATAATATATAAGTGCAAAATATGGAAATATACGGAAGTGAATTATAATATTATTGATGGGAAGTATTCAGTGGATATGATTATCTACTGCACCACATGGTGGTGGCGTCCCTGTACCTCAATTCTCCTAACCTCTCCGATTCACAACTGATGATCAATAAATCGTAAATATTTCTAAAAAAAATTTTCAAACTCACAATTATGTATCGAAGTGAATTAAATATTTCAAGGCAGGAGATTGATAAATACCTATTAATATTCAACCCCAGCGCGCGCTGAGTTACCTAACCGTCAGTTCATATCCAACAATTTCAACTCATACTTGACCTCTCAGTCATAAAAAAATCATTAATTACCCGCGGAATAAATTGACTGCGACACATAATAAAACATATTTATACCTTAATGTTGGCTCACTACAGAGGCCTAAAGGGATGTCGTAAAGTCGGGGTAGCGCACGGGACGAAACAGCCGCGTGTTTATGCCTTTGGAAATTATATTTTACGAGGCATATTTTCATAAGATTTTCTAGGGGGTACTGTCAATCCACTTAACACCAATATTAGAGTCGTTAAAATTTTCTCGCCGGGAAAAAATGCGCGGATTAAGTGGGAGGAATGTGATTGTCCCGAGGTCTGCCTGTCGATGAATGAGGTTCATTATGATGCTGGCACGCGGATCATGAATATCGCGTTTTTTACTGTTTCGTGCTAGTCACGATATTTCTAATTGTTAACAAATTCTCTCAGGTTAATAATGAGAGTTATTACGCGGCCTAATGAAAATTAAACATTCATTCCAGACTCAGAGCGTTATGTAATTAAATTTCATTCTCTGACAAAAAACTGTCTAAATTTTTTTGTTCAAAAATTAGAAAGAAATTTTTGAATTTAGAACAAATCATATTAATATTTTTCTCCTGATGAAAAAGTAATCGGGAGAAATTGAACGATTAATCATGTAATCAATTAGTAATTGCACTAATTGGTAATTAATAATTAATTGATGATTAACTTTTAATCGTTTGAGAAGTTGACTGGAGATGTCACAACGGATTTTTATTCACCTCAAAGAAAGTTCCCACAAGAATAATTTTATTGCCTCCCCGTAAATTTCTAGTGACGTAAAAAAGTATGAATTTCGTATCATTGAGAAATCGCCAGTAATCTCTGGGCGATAAAAACCCCAATAAAACACAATAGCCGCATTAAAAACTCAGTCGATACCTCGAAAACATTTTCAGGAAAAGTGACACATATGTAGAATCAGTCACTGCGTCAACTGAAACCCCGAAAATCCTGACATCCTCTTTAATTGCTTAAGTTCAGGGTCAAGTGACATCCGAATTGCGAAATTTGCACGTGGGTAAGACCCGAGTAATTAAAGAGCGAAAAAAATAATGCTCAATGTGAGGCATGTAATATGATGTTTCGACATTTCCTTGAGGTAATCATCAGAGATATTAATCCGCGATTCATGTTAAGTGAGAAAAAAATATGTCGCATTATCCAATTATGAAGGCGACTCGTGCGTGAGAAACATGAATGGGAAAAAAGGGGGAGACCGTCTTTCATCTTCAATATCTTCTGACCAAATGATACGATTTGGGTGAGTTGGAACTCATTTTCAAGCTTGGAAAGAAACCTTGAAAATAAAAAAAATCGACGAATTCAACTGTACGATTCTCGAGTCATAGGTCCGTGATGACGGTCGCGAGAACTTTAATATAGGGACGCCACCACTAGGTGGCGCCTAATCAATGCCCGATCTTTCTAGAGCTCACGCAAAGACAAAATTTCAATTTTGATGAATTTATCCAGAATATCATATTATATTATATTATATTATATTATATTATATTATATTATGCCTTATTGTGTATTATATATTTATTATATATCCTACATTGAAGCTCGAAAATATATCGCACAAATCTGATATATTTTCACGCACACATTTTTATCCATCCACGCACAACATGAAAACCGCGTTCAATACTTACAACACAACTCCCATAAACCCTGCGCTCTCCATCAGCACTAACAGCCTCCTTTGCGGCTTGCGTTCTTACAAACGTGGGTGTACCCGACGCTTTTTCGATTGCAGATAGATCGGTAAATGCATGTATATCACTGTTCGCTTGTTTATCGTCAAAGGAGAATAGATTGTTGAGTACAGAGTGATTTACTTTTTATCGATCAACGCCGGGAGTACGGCTGGGTGGCCATGAACTGTGCGACAATATTAATCCGGATGTTTTCTCTCAACTTTTCTGATTCAAATTTAAATTAAATTTGAAATGATGAAAATTTTGAAATTCCATCTTTTTTCTCAATTTCTTAATTTTTTATATATTATTGGTACATTTATCATCATTTATAATACATTGTCCTTTTTATTTTCAAATAAAATTTACACCGAATAATTTATCACAAAAGTGTAGTCACAATTAATTCTTAGAATTAATTTTTGTGTTTGATTTTTTTTTGAAAATCAATTCAATTTAATTTTCAATTAGTTTACTATTTGTCCTTTTTTGTATATCCTTATTATTTTGTTTCAATTTTTTTCAACTTTTCTATTAAATTTTTTCGTGCATGATGACCTATTGATGAAGTAATTCCCGTTTAATCACAAACACTTTCATCCGAGGTGATTGTGCACGGTGTGGGATGACTGCAATCACATTGTCTGCTTATCTCACCCTTTTTCCAGTATGTTATTCAAAACCATGAATACGATCTCGAAATAGATGCTTGTTATGCGCCAAGATGATGGTATTGTAAACACTTGAGACTGTGCCGGGCCAGTTGGGAAATTGCTCCGGGTCTTTATGCTCGCAGTCACAGGGACGATGATGTAGAACTCTCGAATATAACTCGTAATGCTCCAGCGTGGGGTTTGAATAGAAAGAAATTGGTAAAATTGACGAGGCGGGGTCCGTGGAATAGAAGCGGCTGATTTGGATGACGAGTTGGAACGTTTGATATTACGTAAAGAGGTGGCAATGATGGAACTGGGGCTCATCCAGACGATGTTACCGGCAAGTTGAGGTTGATGATGTAAACAATAATGATTTATTCATAAATACCTCTCAGATTCATTTGAAATATCATTTGGATATTTTTTAGATGTTATTCCCACCGCCACTCTCTTCATACGAATCGTTTCTCATCAATTATCCGTCTCGTGTAATTATAAGGATATTAACGTCGATTTAATTAGGGTTTAGTCATCTCTAATTCCATTTTTTGAAAATGTTTATTATGATTGATCCTTCCTGATGACCAGGTGAAGACTCAGAGTTCCGTCATGGGGGTTATGAGAAGTTTAATAGAGGGACGCCACCACTAGGTGGTATCACGCAAAGAAAAAATGTTGTAGTTTTGGTGGATCGATTCGTAATATTTGGGAAGCCTCGGAATTTTTAAATTTAAATGAGGGAGAAATGCTAAAATCAGGTGATTTTATCACTAATTACTAGTGACATAATTCTAAAAATCGGAGGATAAGTCCTGAACCTTAAGAAATGTATCCCTAAATTTCAGTGATTTATTTATAAAATTCCTCCGTATTTGTAACCTTCAATCTCAACCAGATCTGAACAGAAATATTTCATGGGATTGCGCCTCATCTAAATGATTTTGCTGCAAGTTGAGGGTGATGATGTAAACAATAATTATGTATTAATAAATATCTCTTAGATTCATTTGAAATAACATTTGAATATTTTTGAGGTGTTATTCTTGCCGTCACTCTCTTCACACGAATCGTTTCTCACTAATTATTCGTCTCGTATAATTATGATATTAACTTCGATTTAATTAGGGTTTAGTCATCTCTATTTCCATATTTTGAAAATGTTTATTGTCACTGATCCTTCCTGGTGACCAGGTGTGAATTTGAATAGAGGGACGCCACCGTTAGGTGGCACCCAGTGGAAATTCCAAATCGATTCAGAATCATGATTATAATTAATCACTCCCAGTGCTTCGATCGAAAATTGACGAAGACACAAAAAATCCGCGTGCACATGCATTCGGACCGCGATTCGCCTATCACCAGCACCACCGACTCTCCCCCCTCTCCGCGATCCGCTCCGCACTGAAGAAGGTGCTTTTCTACTGTGAGTATAAAACCGGTGAAAGCGCCTGGCAGCCCTCCAGATTACCGCTGTGTACGTCAGCGTCAAGAGCTCCGACAGTGTATCCAGCACATCGCACTGTCACTGTGGAACTCAACTCTTCGGCCACAACTTTTCATTCACTCTCTCAACATTAATAAACAAAGTTCCCGCAATTAATTGAAAGTAAATTGAAAAAAAAATTCTCCCCTAAATAAAAAAAATTAATTCCGTGTGCGAGAAATCGTGATAAAAATCCAGTAATAAATACAAGATTAAAAAGTGAAAAAAAATCATGAAGAGTTCCCTGATCTTGTTTTTGGCAGTTTTAACTGTCGCATGTGCCGTCATGGGATACCCGCAGGAGCGTCTAATGCCAGGTCAGTGTCTATCTCCAATTATTTTATTTCCGGTGATGTGCACCGTGTGAAATTCCCCGCGAAGAATATTTCCGAGCGAAAAAAAGAAATTTCCAACAATTAGAAATTCCCGCACTGTAGTTTGTGGTGAGGCGAGTGAGAGTGATAATACCGCAAAGTAGAGTAGACGACTCAATTCCGTGGAGAATGACCCAGCGATCAGCTGACGAGTGAGTAGAAGGGCCTGTTTGAATGAGATTTCACGGCAGGAATCATTCTCGAGTGATTTTCCCTCGTCATCCCAAATTTCCACGATTTCTGGTTCACGAGGACCCAGTGAAAGTAGCCATTGAGCATAAATTTTTAGTTATAAAGTTTTGAAAAAGGAAATTCCATTACATTCTGCGGTAGCAATGCGTGAACCTTTGACACGCGAGTGAAAACACAATTTCCGGTAATAAATGGAGTGATTGTACAATAGTTGTTGATTTGTTCTATGGGCACGTATGCTTCGTTTAATGACTCTTCATTAATCGGGGATTGTTGTTATTAAAGTGCTTTCTTCTTGTGGTTAATCATTCGTTGGGTTTGATAAAGGAAATTGTATTGTGGGACGCCACCTGGCGGTGGCGTCTCTGTACTCGGGTTGCCATAACCTCTATTATTAACAGCTGATGAATGGAAAATGAAATAGTAAATATTTTCAGAAGAGAGAAATGAAAGTGCACTAGAAAAAATAATGTCTGAAATTGAGGTACTTTCGTCCTCTTTTTTAAAACGTTTGGGTCCCCATGTTTTTGTATTTTATAGAGTCTGAAATGAAGACATTAAGAATGTAAAAAGTATCTTTCACAGTTTTGTGATAAACCACACGATAGATTCAACCATTTTCTATCATCAAACTTGACAATTTCAATCATGAATTCGCGTGAGAATATTTTGAAAAAAATCATAAATATTCAGCGTCATTCAAATTACATTTTACGCAGAATTATTATTTTTTTAAACGGTTGTTGCTCATACATAAATAAGTGAAATTGTTCAAGCAATTTTAATTACTCCGTTTAAGGACGCTTCATTAATTCGGGATTGTTGTCATTAAAGTGCTTTCTTCTGGTGTTTAATCATTCGTTGGGTTGGATAAAGGAAATTGTATTGTTGTGGGACGCCGCCTAGCGGTGGCGTCTCTGTCCTTGGATTGCCATAACCTCTGTGAACAGCTGATTATTGGAGGATAGTAAATATTATTGAAATATAGGAATGGAGGTGCACTAGAATAAATAATGTGTGAAATTAAGTTATTTTTGTCCCCTATTTTAAAACCTTTGTGTTCCCAATTTTGAGTATTTCATAGTATCTAAAATAAAGACTTGAGGATGTAAATTTTCAATCATCAAATTTATCAGTTAAATTGCGTGAGAATTTGTGGATGAAAATCATGAATACGCAGCGTTATTCAAATTACATTTTGCACAGAATTATTTTGTTAACCATTTGTTGTTCATAAATAAATAATTGAAATTGTTCAAACTTTCAGAGACCTCATTTTTTAGGCTTGAAATCGATTCCTGGTAAAATTCTGAATATGAATAAATTTGTTACGATTTCAAACAAATGATTTTTATGGTGGAAAATTAATTGTCTTTAAATTATTTATAGAAAATGCTCGTAATTTTCAAAAGTAGACTATCCAATTTTTTTCAGATTTTAAAAATATTTTCTAACGGTTCAATATCGAGATTCAAATTCAGAACTGCAAAGTTTAAATAATAAAATAATTGTAAAATGCCCGGAAACTTAGGGTCACAATGGGCTCAAATGAAAGTTCTAATGTTCCATTATAATTATAAAAGATGAAAAGTACTTTACTGAAAAGAAAATAGCCAGAACTTCGATATCCTTAACACATACATTTTAAACCTTCTATAGGTATCTTACTCGAGGCTCTTTTGCCTCAAATTCATAACGTCTTATTTGTTCTTCGAAATACTCCATTTGTTTTTCCCCAGCTGTCGCAAGTACGAAAAAATTTCATAGAAGTGTCTTCAATTGAAACAAGAAAAATGTCTTAAATTTGGTGACTTGGATTTTAAAACAATATGAAACCATCTTATTTTCAAACAAAAAAACCTCTTATTTCAAGTAATTCGAAACTTAAAAATGAAGTAGAACAAATAAAAAAAATAAAAACCAAAAGTCATTTCCACCGCCCCCTGGACAACAATAAATCGTCTATTACGCGTAATAAACGCGATCGTTGTTGACTACTCACCACACGCCATCGTAATGAGATATCGTTGTATCCATGAAACAGTGGCCCTAATTGGTTGGCTTGCGATCGAAGTAGTCGAAGGTTAAGAGCCCACTGTGTGCAGATGGAATTCATTATCCCGTAATAAATCATTGTCGATTTATCTACCTGACGCCCGCCCGTAGACTCTTTTTCACTCTCGGTGAGTATCGCCTCGGGGGCTACTCAGTCCCAGTGACATCGATGCTGTTGTTAATGAAGCTATCGGACTAACCGCAGATGGGATGAAGATCCTTATTACATCAAAGCGTGCTCCTTCACGATTCAACGCCTCCCACTGATCTTGAGGCCTCGGGAGGCTGATTCATTCGGATAATCGCGCGGATTATTAATTCGTCAATTAAAAGATGTGTAATTACACGATAATTATGGTGGTGATTAATTCATATGGAAACTGTTATGGAGTATTCATTTAGTTCAATATAAAACTGATGGTGAATGAATTATTGAATTGTGGGGTTGGGGGTGGCGCCAGCGCCACCTTGCGGTGGCGTCTCTGTACTTGAATAAATAATGAATGAATGAATATATTGTCGTCATCATCTGAGACAGTTAATTGATGAAAAAATTGAAATATAGCACTGGTGAGATATTTATTTATACATAATTATTGTTTATAAATTAAATCCTCTCAATGTTTCACTAATAATTCATCACCCTCTGCTTACATAATGAGGTTAACCTTCATAATTGCTAGTGCTACTCTAGATTTTCTGGATGAACCCTAAATTGCGAGCTCATCGCCATATCTAATAATATCGGACGCTTCGGGAGATAATTCATTCATCATAAAAGATGTCTAATTATCGGATAATTATGGAAGTGATTTATTAACACGAAAATTTTCCTGAAAATAGTCGTTTCATGAAATCTAAATCGATTAATGAACAACTTATTAAATTCGTCGAGTTGAGGTTGGCTACAGCGCCAGCTTGCGGTGGCGTCCCTGTATCTAGATTCTCGAAACTGGAGATAAGTCAATTAGAATATTATTGCAATCATATGAGACGGATAATTAATGGGAAAAATCGAAAGGAAGAGGTCTAGAGATATCTATCTTCAAATAATTATTATTTATAAGTTGAATCGCCTCAATTTCTCACTAAGAATTAATCGCTCTTTGCGTATATCATGAGGTTAACCTTCATAATTGCTAACGCTACTCTAGATTTTCTGAAGAAACCCTAAATTACGAGCTCACCCTCATATCTAATAATATCGGACACCTCGGGAGATAATTCATTCATCATAAAAGAAGTCTAATTATCGGATAATTACGGAAGTTATTTATTAACACGAAAATTTTCCTGATAACAGTCGTTTCATCAAATCTAAATCGGCCAATGAACAAATTATTAAATTTGTGAAGTTGGGGTTGGCTACAGCGTCACCTTGTGGTGGCGTCCCTGTACCTAGATTCTCGAAACTGGAAATAAGTACATTAAAATATTATTGTATTCATATGAAACGGATAATTAACGTAAAAAATCGAAGGAAAGGCCTTGAGAGATTGATCTACACATAATTATTGTTTATAAATTGAACCGCCTCAATGCCCCACCAATAATTAATCATAATTTCTAGTGCCAATCAACTGGATGAACCCCCGAAGCGAGTTCACCGTCACATCTAATCACAATATCATCTATTTATTAATTAAACTCCTTATAATTATGAAATTGATTTACGAACGCGGAAATGGTTTTCAAATCCCATAATCTCCTCACCAACGGGTATCGCAAATTCTCACGTCTTGCCTTACTGAGTTGAACATATGAATGATCTTAAACTTGATTATCACTCGATCATCATTTTTCCCTCGCAGAGTTCACCGATGTCAACTTTCATAATTAAATAAAAACAAATTCGCCGATGAAAGTGAATTTATCCCTGAAATGACGCCGCAAAACGCAGGATATCAGGATATTTATCTTCCGGAATTTTTTTCACCTGGCCTACATTACAACCGAGGAGTATGCGTTTCGCCTTGAGTACATACAGCCAACAGTGTTGAAACCAAATGGATCGTGGAATAATAATAATTCACGTGAGTCCGAGGGAGTCCTAGGCTAAACTCACGTGCTGCACGTGATCAAGACGAGAGTGTTGCACGTGCCGACACAGCCCTTCCATCGTAATGTACACGTTATAGTGGATATGAGAACGTCCAGCGGTGAATCGGGTAAAAGTACTAATGCTGGTGCTGTATGAGTCACGTGCGCCTTGAAAACAACTGCGCGAGAGGCTGTTCTGTTCTGGCCTGTCAATCAGTTCCTCTGGAGAGGAACGTCTGAGGTGGCGTCTGCATTTTTTTGTCGACTGGTGGACAATTCAAAATGTATCGATTTGTATTGACGCAAATATCCAAATGAAACGATCTTTTTTTCTTAAATTATTTTACTATTTTCAACAATAAATTATGTAACAACATAATTAATTCATCTGCAGTTTTATATTTGAAAAAAAATTTCTGTCTATTGGACATCAGGTGATAATCAGAGAGGTTATGAAGACCCTAGTACAGGGACGCCAGCGCAAGGTGACGCGACATCCCATCACAATCACCGGATAGTTTCCTCAGCTCGTGGAAGTTTCCGTAATTACGTGAAAATTATCCTGACGACGGGTGTATTGATAAGTTCAGCAACCTTTAAAGAAAAGGGTGGCCTGTAATGGCCTGTTCTGTTCTGACCTGTTAATTAGGTCCTGT